CACGAAGCCGGCAACTCCACGGGGAGTGGACGTCCGAGGGACGGCGAGGGAGGCGCAGCCCTCGGAGGGGGCTGGCGGGCGGGGCTGGGGTGAGCCAGGCAGGCGCGCGCGCGCGGCCGCGCGCCGTGCCCCGGCGCGCCTGCTTCGACCTTTCTCCGCCTCGACCTCGTCATCGTCGTCGTCGTCGTGTCGTTCTCGATCTCGTCGTCGCCTTCGTCGTCGCCTTCGTCGTCGCCTTCGTCGTCGTCGTCTTCCTCCTCCTCCTCGTCCTCCTCGTCCTTCTCGTCCTCGTCTTCCTCCTCCTCCTCCTCCTCCTCCTCCTCCTCCTCCTCCTCCTCCTCCTCCTCCTCCTCCTCCATCTCCCTGCCACCGCCGCGGCACGCGAGGCGCTCAGCGGCGCGGCTCTGAGGCCTCCTCCCTGAGCCTGCGCCTGGTCCAGATCCATCAATCTCTATCTCCCTCGCCCAGAAGAGGATGATGTGGCTGACAGGCTTCATGATGCTTTGACGCCCTCGGGCGGAGGCCGAGAAAGTATTTAAAGGTGTGGAAGAATCCGGCCACGCAAAGCCTAGCCGGAGTCAGAAAACATGGGAGACCCCCAAAACAACCAAAAAATCGAACCAACTCAACCTCTCCGACACCGGGTCCGTCGAGGAGAGGGAGGGGAGGAGGTAGGGCGAGGCCGTCGCCGGGGCCTCTCCGGCAGGGATTCCACCCTCCGCCGCGAGCGGCGGCCGGGCGACAGGGGCACGGGAGACAACTCCCGCGTGCGTCTCGTGCAGGGCGCACCGACCACCACCTCACCACCGACCAGGGGCGGCGGCGGGGGCGGGGGCGGGTCGTCAGCGACGTCGGCGTCGCTGCACAGGCCGTCGTCGTTCCCAGCCTGGTCGCCCGCCTGAGCCGTGTCAGGAGGGGGAGAGGGAGGCGCAGGCCGCCGCTTCGAGGCCCGAGCGCCGTCAGGGCCAGCCGCGGCGGGCCGCCGATCCGCAGGCCTTCTGCGAGCCGGGGCCGGGACGGCGTCCCGGGGCAGCGCGCCCAGGATGCGGATCCCGAGCTCGCACGCCATCACCTGCAGGCGCGACCGGACCTCAGTGCTGGGGCCGGCGGCGAAGCTGATCCAGCCAGTCTTGGCTGTGACCCTAGGCTGGCCAGCCCACCAGGCCTCAGCGACGCCGTACCTCCGACCGAGGGCGGCGCGATCGGGCCCGAAGCGGGGGCACTCGGCCCAGAAGTGCCGGGCCGAGGCGGTGGCGTGCCCGCAGAATGGGCAGGGGGCCTGGCCGTCGGCCCGCCGCGTCGGGGTGCAAGAGGCGCCCCCGCGCCAGACCTGCAGGAGGCTAAGGTCGTCCTTACCAAGGCCCGTGCGCCAGGAGCTCCACGGGAGCTTCGACGAGGCCTCGATGTCGACGT